AGAAACAAATTTAACCACCAAAATATTAGACTCCTGAAATCCAAATACTTTATTTAGGAGTGTGCAAACATACATTATTATTTTGATGTCAGGGGTCTTCAGGGCTACCCCCTTTGCGCGATTGTTTTTTGACATGTTTTGAAAGGGTTTAGTAAGGAAACTGACCATTTGAGCCTTGTTGATTTTTTTTTGCACCACTGAACTTTTCAGGCAAGATTTGGAGTTTGGAGTTTACTGCTTCCAGCTCAAAGAGTTTTCAGAAAGGGTTTGAGAGAGGGTTCAAATAGGAAAATTGTTCACAGGTGGAAAAATATTTCAGAATAATTATTTAATTAATTACTTTATTTAGGGGGGTGCAAACGTTTATTATTATTTTGATGCCAAGGGGGCACTAATATTTCAGAATACTTTATTTAGGGGGGGGGTCCAAATTGACACATTATTTTGATGTCAAGGGTGTACAAATATTTCAGAATACTTTTTTTTTTGGGAGTACAAACTGACACATTATTTTGATGTCAAGGGTGCACAAATAGTTCAGAATACTTTATTTAGGGGTGTGTCCAAACTGACACATTATTTTGATGTCAAGGGCGCCCAAATATTTCAGAATACTTTATTTAGGGGGGTGCCCAAGATGTCAAGGGCGCACAAATATTTCAGAATACTTTATTTAGGGGGGTGTCCAAACTGACACATTATTTTGCTGTCAAGGGTGCACAAATATTTCAGAATACTTTATTTATCTTTATTTAGGGGGGTGTCCAAACTGACACATTATTTTGATGTCAAGGGTGGACAAATATTTCAGAATACTTTATTTAGGGGAGTGCAAACATTCATTATTATTTTGATGTGTAGGGTGCACAAATATTTCAGAATGCTTTATCTAGGGGGGTGTCCAAACTGACACATGATTTTGATGTCAAGGGCACACAAATATTTCAGAATACTTTATTTAGGGGGGTGCAAACATTCATTATTATTTTGATGTCAAGGGTGGACAAATATTTCAGAATACTTGATTTAGGGGTGTGCAGACATTCATTATTATTTTGATATCAGGGGTCTTCAGGGCTACCCCCTTTGCGCGATTGTTTTTTTGACATTTTTTGAAAGGGTTTAGTAAAGAAAATGACCATTTGAGCCTTGTTGATTTTTTTGCACTCCAGAACTTTTTAGGCAAGATTTGGAGTTTGGAGTTTACTGCTTCCAGCTCAAAGAGTCTTCAGAAAGGGTTTGAGAGAGGGTTCAACTAGGAAAGGAACTGAGAAACAAATTTAACCACCCAAAATTTGATTAGACCCCTGAAATCCAAATACTTTATTTAGGGGTGTGCAAACATACATTATTATTTTGATGTCAGGGGTCTTCAGGGCTACCCCCTTTGCGCGATTGTTTTTTGACATTTTTTGAAAGGGTTTAGTAAGGAAATCGACCATTTGAGCCTTGTTGATTTTTTCAACTCCAGAACTTTTCAGGCAAGATTTGGAGTTTGGAGTTTACTGCTTCCAGCTCAAAGAGTCTTGAGGGCTTCAGAAAGGGTTTGAGAAAGGGTTCAAATAGGAAATTTGTTTCAAAGGTGGAAAGATATTTCAGAATAATGAGTTACTTTATTTAGGGAAGTGCAAACGTTCATTATTATTTTGATGTCAAGGGTGGACATATTTCAGAATACTCTTTTTAGGGGGGTCCAAACTGACACATTATTTTGATGTCAATAGTGCACAAATAGTTCAGAATACTTTATTTAGGGGTGTGTCCAAACTGACACATTATTTTGATGTCAAGGGCGCCCAAATATTTCAGAATACTTTATTTAGGGGAGTGCAAACATTCATTATTATTTTGATGTGTAGGGCGCACAAATATTTCAGAATACTTTATTTAGGGGGGTGCCCAAACTGACACATTATTTTGATGTCAAGGGTGCACAAATATTTCAGAATACTTTATTTAGGGGGGTGTCCAAACTGACACATTATTTTGATGTCAAGGGTGCACAAATATTTCAGAATACTTTATTTTAGGGGAGTGCAAACTGACACATTATTTTGATGTCAAGGGTGCACAAATATTTCAGAATACTTTATTTAGGGGGGTGCAAACGTTCATTATTATTTTGATGTCAAGGGTGGACAAATATTTCAGAATACTTTATTTAGGGGGGTCCAAACTGACACATTATTTTGATGTCAAGGGTGCACAAAATATTTCAGAATACTTTATTTAGGGGGGTGCAACCATTATTAATTATTTTGGTGTCAAGGGTGCACAAATATTTCAGAATACTTTATTTGGGGGGGTCCAAAATGACAAATTATTTTGATGTCAATGGTGCACAAAATATTTCAGAATACTTTATTTAGGGGAGTGCAACCATTCATTATTATTTTGGTGTTACGGCTGAAAAAGCAACTTTAGTATTCCCAAGTGAATTGCCTAATTGAAAATGAATACATAAGGGAACTTCCTCACCCCCAAAAAAAACTACCTATGTATTCCCAAATGAATTGCCTAATTGAAAACGAATACATAAGGGAACTTTTCCCACCCGAAAAAAAAAACCACCGATGTATTCCCAAATGAATTGCCTAATTGAAAACGAATACATAAGGGAACTTCCACCACCCCAAAAAAAACCACCTATGTATTCCCAAATGCATTGCCTAATTGAAAACGAATACATAAGGGAACTTCCCCCCCAAAAAAACCACCGGTGTATTCCCAAATGAATTGCCTAATTGAAAACGAATACATAAGGGAACTTTCCCACCACCAAAAAAAACCACATGTATTCCCAAATGAATTGCCTAATTGAAAACGAATACATAAGGGAACCTCCCCCCCAAAAAAAACCACCTATGTATTCCCAAATGCATTGCCTAATTGAAAACGAATACATAAGGGAACTTCCCCCCAAAAAAAACCACCGGTGTATTCCCAAATGAATTATTGCCTAATTGAAAACGAATACATAAGGGAACTTTCCTCCCCAAAAAAACCACCTATGTATTCCCAAATGAATTGCCTAATTGAAAACGAATACTAAAGGGAAAAAAAATGAAAAAAACCGGAAAAAAGTTGGCGTACTTTATTACGGGGGGGAGGTTTATTAATCTTTTCCGGGAGTTGGCGTACTCTATTTTGGGCGGGTTTATAAATCCTATGTTAACATTAGATAGATGGATAGATGGATAGATGGATAGATGGATAGATGGATAGATGGATAGATGGATAGATGGATAGATAGATAGATAGATGAGATTAGATGAGATAAGATAAGACAGATAGATAAGATAGATAAGATAGATAAGATAGATAAGATAGATAAGATAAATAAAATAGATAAGATAGAAAAGTTAGACAAGATAGATAAGATAGATAGAAAGAAATATAGATAGATAGATAAGATAAGATAAGATAAGATTAGATAGATAGGTAGATAGATGGATAGGATAGGATACGATTAGGATAGGATAGGATCGCAAAGGAGAGGATAGGATAGAAAAAGATGGATAGATAGATTAGATTAGATTAGATTAGATTAGATTAGATTAGATTAGGTGTAGATTAGATTAGGTTAGTTTAGATTAGATTAGTTTAGATGAGATTAAATTAGATTAGATAGACAGACAGACAGACAGAGAGAGAGAGAGAGAAATAGATAGATAGATAGATAGATAGATAAGATAGATAGATTAGATTAGATTAGATTAGAATAGATTAGATTAGATTAGACCAGATTAGATAAATAGATAGATAGGTAGATAGATAGGTAGACAGACAGGCAGAAAGAGAGAGAGAGAGAGAGCGATAGATAGATAGATAGGTAGATAGATAGATAGATAGGTAGATAGATAGATAGATAGATAGGTAGATAGATAGATAGATAGATGATAGATAAGATACATAGATGAAAGATAGATAGATAGATAGATAGATGGATGATAGATAGATAGATAGATAGATAGGTAGATAGATAGATAGACAGATAGATAGATAGATAGACAGTAAGATAGATAGATAGATCGATCGATAGATAGGTAGATAGGTAGATAGAAAGAAAGAAAGATAGATAGATCGGTGAGATTAGATTAGATTAGGTTAGGTTAGGCTAGACTAGATTAGATTAGATTAGGTTAGATAGATAGACAGACAGACAGACAGAGCGAGAGAGAGGGAGAGAGAGATAGATAGATAGATAGATAGATAGATGAGATTGGATAAGATAGATAAGATAGATAAGGTAGATTATATAGATAGGTAGATAGATAGATAGATAGATAGATACATAGATCGGTAGGTAGATAGATAGATAGGCAGACAGACAGACAGACAGACAGACAGGGAGAGAGAGAGAGATAGATGGATACATAGATAGATAGGTGGGTAGGTAGGTAGATAGTCAGAGAAAGAGACAGAAAGAGAGAGAAAGAGAAGAGGCCTCAACCACCTGTCGGTCCATCAGTGGCTGCGCTCTGCCATCCGTGACTCACAACAACCAACCTCTCCTATAGGTGTCCTATTTTTGAAACTTCCGCCGCCGCCTTGTGCGGTACTACTGGTATAATATAGATAATAATAAAGACATAGCTGGACCGTCGGGGATGGCGGTGACACATGCCGGTCATGCGATAGTTAGCCAAACCCCAAGACGATAGAACCATAATTTACCACTATTTTAGTAGGTTTTTACTTTTCTTTCCCATTGTGCACAGTGCTTGATTGGAAGCTGTAGGGTTCCCTGTGTACTGACTGATTCCTGTTTATGGGCTGAAGCAAGGAGGGTTGATTCAGAGCACAGGGGGGGCAGCACCGCCCGCTTGCATAACAAAACATTGATTGCGCTTGCCCTTTTGCAAGCTTCATGGCACCTCCAAGACCATTTGACTCTTACCACATAGGCCTGTTCCCCACTCTTCCAGGGCACTCGGCTGACATGCACACACCCTGGCCATTTTTCTCCACTGGGGACGAGCCGAGCGCAAGTCCCCAAGGTTTTGAGAGTCAATGGAAGCAAAATGACGCTCAGCGAAATGGAAAGAAACTCCAACCTAGGCGAGCTGAAGAAGGAGTGCATGAAGAGCAGTGCAGACTGAGATTTGCAACGCAAAAACATGGTGCTATTGATGCCAAGCTTTATATAGATGCGTGTGTTTCTGCACCTTTGCAAGGACTTGCCCGGTTTTTCACTGGAACAGATCCTCAAGAAATTGGGGCGCCAGTTCAAAATCAAGGAAGATGGAGATAGTTTTCAGGTGGCCTTGGCAAATGTGGAATGGGACTCAGCATGGCTGGCATTGCACAGAAATAACCACAGACGAGCCTGGATCCGGCATTAGCACCACGAGTATGGATGTGGATTTGGATGTTTTAGCACCTATTAGGACCAGCTTGTGGGTTCTCAAAGCCCCTCAGTGCTGACACCTAGGATTGGCGGCCAATCCCTCACAAGGCAAATCCACAACTCACCGCAGATATGAAGATGATAAAAAACAACAATTACATATTGGAATGACCTTGCAATAGACAAGCATTCTTTGACATGTGGGCAGGTCGTGACGCATTTCTTACTACGTGTCTGGGGCCAAGCAGTCACGTGCAGCAGCAGTTTTTAGAATTTTAGAAGCATTGGGATTGGCATGGACTGGCTGTGGCAGTTTTCCGCTTCTCAGCTCGGCAAGCTTTTGTGTCTGAAGTGTAGTGAAGTGTAGTGAAGCGTGGTGAAAGGCTGATGGATCCGTTGACGACAAGCATAGCGTCGAAGACACGGGCTGCAGAAGCTTCAAAAACCACAAGCGTGATGCGCGCAAATTGCAGCGCATGAAGGATGGTGAGCAGAAAGGGCCAAGTAAAGGAGTGCCAAAGCAGCAAAATCGGAACAGACGAAAAGAAAAGAAAGGCAAAGGGAGAAGCAAAGGTGACAGCAAGAAGGAAAAAGGAAAAGGAGGAAGAGAACGGAAAAGAGAAAGAGGAAAAGGAGGAAAAGGAAGAAAAGGAGGACGAGGAACAGAAGGAAAAGAAGAACAAGGGAAAGGAAGAGAGCGGAAAGGCGGAAAAGGAGGGAAAAAGGCAACAAAAGCAGAGCGTAAAGGGCAAGGCGACCAGGGCGCCGGGCCACCACGTGGAGGAGAGGAGTCTGAAGATGGCGTGGAACTCAGCACTTGTTCGCAACTTCAGAACCTACTGCAGCAAGCACAAGGACACGTATACACACACACACAGTCGCAAAATCGAGATTGCAGGAAAACATGCATGCAAGTAGTGTACTGCAGGTTACAGATCAAACAAGAGAAGTGCACCAAAGGCAGCCCGGCATTGTATTGCGATGTTTGGCTGTCACATTTGCCGCTGCTTTTCTAGAGACAGCATCAGGCTCTCCATTGTCTCAGTGTGTTCATTTTGACATTGGCTGTGATGGTCTGAGGATAATAGAGAGGAGCTAGGCCAGTCGGGCGATCCCCTTCCAACAAGGTGTGGCAGATGCCGTTGCTATGTTTCTGGGTGCCGTGATCGATAAACGACACTTGCAACGTCCAGAAACAATTGCCTAATTCTCAGGATTATTCAGGTGAGCATAGCTGATTCACTTCAAAGATGCCCATCCAGCACCGCTTCGGCTTTGAACAGAGGGAGTACCCACAGAGTAGGATAAAGGATTCGTGGCCCATGAAGTGGCCAAGCTTTCTCCGCGTCAGAGGCCAAGAAAGAGAAGAGTCTTCGCTCCCGAGCTTAGTGAACTTTCTGATGGCCCTGAAGATCATGGGAGGCAGCCGGGAGAAGATTGACCGCATCAAATGGGAGCCTAGGCATCTATACACAAAACACAAATACGGCGCGCCTAGACGTTCGCGAGTTAGTTTGAAAAAGAATGATGGAGGTTGGGTCAATTATGGGCAGCACCATGCATCTTCACATCTACCACCGATTTGGGTGCTGTTTGGTGCACAGGCTGGAGGATGAATGATACGTCTCTTATGTGCCAGGTTCATTGTAGATCAGATGACTTATCATTCCTAGCATTTGGAATGCATTTGGCCCTTTAAACCTTCTTTCTTCACACCTTTTTTCTCAGACCCGGCTTGACAAGCCCTGTTCTCGATTCTCGATTCTCGATTCTCGATCCTCGATTCTCGATTCTCGATCCTCGATTCTCGATTCTCGATTCTCGATCCTCGATCCTCGATTCTCGATCCTCGATCCTCGGTCCTCGATCCTCGATCCTCGATTCTCGATCCTCGATCCTCGATTCTCGATTCTCGATCCTCGATCCTCGATCCTCGATCCTCGATCCTCGATCATCGATCGATCCTCGATCCTCGATCCTCGATCCTCGATCCTCGATTCTCGATTCTCGATCCTCGATCCTCGATCCTCGATCCTCGATTCTCGATCCTCGATCCTCGATCCTCGATTCTCGATTCTCGATTCTCGATCCTCGATCCTCGATTCTCGATTCTTGATTTTCGATTCTCGATCCTCGATCCTCGATTCTCGATTCTCGATTCTCGATCCTCGATCCTCGATTTTCGATTCTCGATTCTCGATCCGCCATCCTCGATCCTCGATCCTTGATCCTCGATCCCCGATCCTCGATCCTCGATTCTCGATTCTCGAGTCTCGACTCTCGACTCTCGATCCTCGATCCTCGATGCTCGATCCTCGATCCTCGATCCTCGATCCTCGATGCTCGATTCTCGATTCTTGATTTTCGATTCTCGATTCTCGATCCTCGATTCTCGATTCTCGATTCTCGTCAAGCGGCGTGGAAAAGCCAGAGTAAGTCAGACTCAAAGTTCCTCTTTTACACCAGGCACCTTGAGCGAGATCTTGAGCCAGATGAGCAGCGTTCTAAAGTCCCCCTTACTTGTTTAGTATTGGGCTTGCATAAACTCCATCTTCTCGTAAGACTTTCCCTGGGTTTCGTAAGCAGTGCGAAAGGTTTGACGTAAGCATTGGTCACAAACATGTTGCCGTAAGCCGTTCGTAAGCCCATGTCGGGCCATGAGAGCTGGGGCTCAAACAAGGTTGTGTGCTTCATTTGGTGCATGCTATTGCAGCTATTGAATGTCGATGATTAATTATGCCATTATGCCATTGCATATAGGGAAAGCGGTATTGTTTGAACATCAAACCAAAATTCACAGAATCCGAATCGGAGATCGGAAATTGCCGTAAGCTCGGTGTAAGCGATCCGTAAGCGAGTCGTAAGCGAAGGTTGCCTTCAGTGACCCCTGGCACAGAGTTGGCAAGGCCGAAGCCGGCAGTTGAGGTCCAGCAGTGCCCACTGCGCGCGGAAGTTGGCGAAGAGATTGGCGAAGAGTTGGCAAGGCGGAAGTGGACGTGGAAGTTGATGCAGACATGGTCGAGGAGAAACTAGAGGAGGAAGAGGAGGAGGCGGAGGAGGAGAAGGAGGAGGAGGAGGCGGAAGAACAGCTCTGATAAAATCTAACAACCCTCACCTGGCAGGTGGGGAAAAATGCATCTTCCTAGCACGTGTTTTTCACCAAAAAATCACTCTTTGGTTTGCCGGGAAAGTTTGCCGTAAGAGATGCGTAAGCTAGTTCTTTGAAGTTGTTGTGCCGTAAGCAAAACCTTGGAAAACGTAAGCGAACGTAAGCTCCTACGTAAGCTTTGAGTTCTCGCTCAGGAGATCAAAAGGAGTTTTGAACACAGCTCAGATCTATTTGGCAAAAGTCTCATGCATGTCGAGCAGGGGAACAGTGCCTATAAAGTTTTGCTCCTCCCCTCTGTGGCTGCGGTGTTTTGATTGCTCCTTGGATCCCTTCCGGGGTGCTCCCTGGCCCTTGGTCAAATGCTGTGTGGCCAGCATGCAAGAAAGTGACAGTGCTCGTGCATAGATACCCTTCTAGCGAGAGTTTCAGCGTAGGCGAGACGTAGGCATTGGCTATGGACCCGGGCACCCAGTAGCGTGCACCCAGTGGGTGCTATGGGGGGACGATCTAGTACAGTGATGCTGGCTGGATCATTTACAGGACGAGGTATACTGAACTCCCCGGTGGCACCTGCGTCTAGGTTGACATGCACAGTACAGGTCGAGGGGGCTGTGCATGCAGTACCTTGATTTTGATTCCTTGTAGGACATCTTTGCGTAATTGCTGCCCGGTACGGCATCTTGCTGGATATACCCTTAGTATTTATTGGTTCGGTATGCGGTACTGTACCGAGCCGCTGCGGCATGGCATTGCCAGGTGGATCATGACTGATTCTCTGCCCGCTTCATTGCATTCATTCAGAAAGACTTTTCACAAGCTGACAAGTGACAACCTCGTATCATTATTGTCGATCCTTCGTTCTCGATCCTCGATCCTCAGTTCTCGAACCTGCTTTCTAACGTTGTCATTGAGGACGTTCTTTGGTTTCATGCGCCCATGTACTCTACACACAGGTTTTCGCGCTCAGTTTTAGTTCCTAGACATGTCTATATTATATACACTGTACACTGACCAGGGGCTAGCCACCTGTCTCTCGTATGTGCCTTGAAACTTTAACCCTTGAGCCACTGGCTGCTTCCTGAGCGGCTAGCCTGCTCATGACACGCTCACCATTTTCGCATCAATTCGGCCCACAGCTCCGTCAGTTGAGTTGCTAGAGCTCTCTTCAGCTCTTGCTTTGCCGGATTGTCCTCTCGGCAATCTTCACAATTGCTACAAAGGTGGCTCCATTCGCCCGCCTCCCTTGCAAGATACTGGACGGTGATCCTGTCTGTGCTTTGAAGCACACTGGAATCGAAGACATCTTTCATGGATGCACAGTGTGCCACTCAGTGTTGACTTGGGTCCTGACGCGCAACAGTTAATGTGGCACTGAAGCCTATCAGCATATGTTCATGAAATACACTATAACAATATATAACATACACATATGCGGTATAAAGTATTCACACACCACACTACACTACACTACACTACACTACACTACACTACACTACACTACACTACACAACACAACACAACACAACACAACACAACACAACACAACACAACACAACACAACACAACACAACACAACACAACACACACACAAACACACACACAAACACAAACACACACACAAACACACACACACACACAAACACACACACACAAACACACACACACACACAAACACACACACACAAACACACACACACAAACAAACACACACACACAAACACACACACAAAACACACACACAAACACACACACAAACACACACACAAACACACACACAAACACACACACACACAAACACACACACACAAACACACACACAAACACACACACACAAACACACACACAAACACACACAAACACACACACACAAAAACACACACACACAAACACACACACACAAACACACACACACAAACACACAACACACACAACACACACAAACACACAAACACACAAACACACAAACACACAAACACACAAACACACAAACACACAAAAACACAAACACAAACACAAACGTCACAAACACAAACACACACACACAAACACACACACACAAACACACACACACAAACACACACACACAAACACACACACACACAAACACACACACAAACACACACACAAACACACACACACAAACACACACACACACAAACACACACACAAACACACACACACGCTTCAAAACCTCTTCCAGAAGCCACGCCACCGCAACGCTCCTGTAACTTCCGGTCGTACAAAAAATCCCAAAGAGATGCTGTCCAGGCGCGGCTTCGTCCCGGATCCAACGGAACAAATTCCTCAATAGATTTTCCCAGCTCTCGCTGCGAAAGCAATTCCACAGGGTTTGCGAGTGCCTTCCAGGGTGAGCATGCAGCTCAGGATTCCTATAGGGGTCGTTGAAGTCATTGCAGTCCACTCGGATTGCTGGCCGCCGTTTAAGAGATCCACATTTTTCCCCCTTGTCTTGTCAGGAGTTAACCAGCAAATTTGTAGAAGTAAAATGATCGTAGTAGTAGTAGTAGTAGTAGTAGTAGTAGTCAGTAGTAGTAGTAGTAGTAGTAGTAGTAGTAGTAGTAGCAGTAGTAGTAGTAGTAATAGTAGTAGTAGCAGTAGCAGTAGTAGTAGTAGTAGCAGTAGTAGTAGTAGTAGTAGTAATAGTAGTAGTAGCAGTAGCAATAGTAGTAGTAGTAGTAGTAGTAGTAGTAGTAGTAGTAGTAGTAGTAGCAGTAGCAGTAGCAGTAGCAGTAGCAGTAGCAGTAGCAGTAGGTAGTAGGTAGTAGGTAGTAGGTAGTAGGTAGTAGGTAGTAGGTAGTAGGTAGTAGGTAGTAGGTAGTAGGTAGTAGGTAGTAGGTAGTAGGTAGTAGGTAGTAGGTAGTAGGTAGTAGGTAGTAGGTAGTAGGTGGTAGGTGGTAGGTGGTAGGTGGTAGGTGGTAGGTGGTAGGTGGTAGGTGGTAGGTGGTAGGTGGTAGGTGGTAGGTGGTAGGTAGTAGGTGGTAGGTGGTAGGTGGTAGGTGGTAGGTGGTAGGTGGTAGGTGGTAGGTGGTAGGTGGTAGGTGGTAGGTGGTAGGTGGTAGGTGGTAGGTGGTAGGTGGTGGGTGGTAGGTGGTAGGTGGTAGGTGGTAGGTGGTAGGTGGTAGGTGGTAGGTGGTAGGTGGTAGGTGGTAGGTGGTAGGTGGTAGGTGGTAGGTGGTAGGTGGTAGGTGGTAGGTGGTAGGTGGTAGGTGGTAGGTGGTAGGTGGTAGGTGGTAGGTTGTAGGTGGTAGGTGGTAGGTGGTAGGTGGTAGGTGGTAGGTGGTAGGTGGTAGGTGGTAGGTGGTAGGTGGTAG